AAAACTGGATTCAAGAATGAATATGAGGAAAAAGTAAAAGGATGTTGTAAACAACCCAGAAGAAAATAACTGAGAGAATGGGGAGGGTCAGCACTGAAGACAGAATACAGGAGAAAGTTCCAAGACTGATGACAGATTTCAATACTCAGATCACGAAGCCCAAGCAGGATGCTAACAGACACATAATCTTCAACCTTCAAAACACCCAAGTAGGAAAAAGTCCTTTAAAAATTGTTCCAGAGAAAGAGCAAATATCTCCAAAACTTTACAGCTCGACTAACAATTTCTTACAAGATAAAGAAACCCAAGTTTGACAGGATGTCTTAAAAATACTGAAAAAAAAAATATCTGTCTATCTACAACTGTATAGAGAGAGCGGAGTTGGTACACAGAAAAGAAGTTGCACTTGGCATTGAAATGCCGAGCCCCACCCCCTGCTCAGGTGTGTGCCACAGAGTCATGTGACTGTCCCTTTCCTGGGATGTCGCCTCATCTAGCAACTCATGGCACAGCAGTGAGTCCCAGGACCATCGGGCACCTGCTCATGCTCTCTGGGTCCTCCTATTCCCTAGTCCTTTCGTCTACCAGCCATCCCTCCACAGCTGCTACCTGTCTCTTCCTCTTATCAAAGTCTTCAGCCCAGTGGGGAGATGGCAGACTTTCCACAGGGCTGATCTTGGAGGAGTTGTGCCTCTACTTTCCCCAGGCTAAGACTGAGCACCGAGTCAGGCCCCTTGAGAGATACCTTTCAGACGCCACTGGGGGTCGCTGTGTATTTGACCTGAAGTTGATAAAGGGCAGGCAGGGGTCAGCAAGGCAGCAGTGGCCTCCTTGGGTCAGGTCACTTCCCTAAGACATTCCCACACTAGGAATATCTTAATGAGGTACACTCTACCTATTAACTAAATCAGTATTTACAGTCTTCCCATAAAGAAAGGTAAGGTCCAGACAGCTTAGAAGCAAGCTCTCCTGTGTATTTAAGGAGGAGATAAAACCACACTTATGTCACTTAAAAAAGAGAACAGGAAATATACCCCTATTCATTTTATGAGCTGTATATCAACGGAATGCCCAGACTAGACATGAATGCTATAAGAAAGTTATTCCAGGCCACCTATGAGCATGAGAACAAAAACATCAAGCGAATCATCAGTAACATGAATTAAGAGAAGAACAGATATGACAATTCACTGGGGTCGAATTGAATTTATTCAGAGGAGTACAACAGGCTCGGTGTGAATTACAGGTGAATGTAATGTAGGCTACTGGTAATGTGACTTTCCAATAATCATAGATTCAGAAATGGCAGGGTCATCTAATAGATGCAGGATAAGCACCAATAAAATTCAGTAACCATTACAGATTTTCTTAAGTGTCTTACCAAAATTAGAACATGAAGAAACCCGCTGAACTGATGAAGTTAATCTACGAAAGAAAGAAAGAAAGAAAGAAAGAAAGAAAGAAAGAAAGGAAGGAAGGAAGGAAGGAAGGAAGGAAGGAAGGAAGAAAGAAAGAAAGAAAAAGAAAAAAAGAAAGAAATCTATA